CAATAAAAAAATAGATTCATTCATGTAAATATGACCAATAATTATTTTTGATAATGAACAAAATATTTATGATTAATCATTATGATGAAAACTTGTAACAACTTTATGTAATTTGAAGAACTTACCAAATTTTTAAAACTTTTGTTAAGTCTGTTCAATTGTGTAGTTGCAGCATAAAGAAATTTTGACGTTCCCTATAAAACTCTGTGAATTTTCTTTAAATCGCGATGTATTTCAAATTCAAAAAATACCGTAACGTAAACTTCGTTTACGTTATTGCGCATTAAATTGCTAATTAAGTTTAATTCTCACAATTCTTTACAATTAATTCAATCATAATTATCGATATACGATAATAGTACAAATATAACCCGATGGTATTTGACGCCATCGATGGTATAGACATTCATTAGCATAGATCTTAATTAATCCATGGTTAATTATATCATTATAAACTCTTTAAAACAAATCTAGCGAAGTAAATTAACTAGAATTTTCCACTAATGCCGATGATAATTATGAGCATACGAAATAGATTATTGAATTCAGTAGCTTTTCATGCAGTTTAAACTTCCCGTAGGGTAAGTTATAGCAAGAAATCGAAAATGAAAATTTTTACATATCTTTAGGTTTTAAGGTTTTCAGAACATTTTGGAATACCCTAAAAAATGATGGATAACTATGTGTAATTTTATAAGTATGTGTGTGTGTTTAAGTGTGTGTATGTATGTGTTCGAATATAAATTTTCTTTTATGATTTCGAGAGATCAACAAATTTAAAAGATTCAAAACGTTGATTGGGAAACGTGCTGAGTAGTATTTGGCAAAGACAAGTCCAGCCGTTCGAAAGATACGGCGCAAAAGAGCAAAAAATTACAATTCAGGTTTTGAGAAAGCGATTTGAATGATTTGAAAAACATTCCACTTGTTCAGGTCCAGCGATTTTGGAGATCCAATAAAATAAGTTTTGAAAAAATGCTATTTGGAAGTCAAAAATGATCATTAGACGTATGTACATCAAATATTTTATAGAGATTTATTAAAAAGTACAAATTTTATTCGTTTAATCAGATACGTATCGCAATTGCTTGAAAAAAATTCAAGATTTTCAAAAAAAATTATAGTTTTTAATTACGGTACGTAAAGTTTCAGCAACTTGCCTTAATGATGTCCCTGGTTCTATAATATTATTATTCAAATATTAATTTTTGTAAAAATATGTATATAAATAAATATATTCAATGTAATAGGTGTAATATTTTATAGGTTGAGTTTTGGGGTGTTTATTTTAGAAAAAATAATGTTTATACGGTTTTTACACAATTTGTTCAGTAATTAATTAAATACAAATATTAGATAATTCAAAACCTAATCAAAACAAATAAAACCAAAATTTTAATAACTATAGCACGTTGCATGAATTTTGCGATATGTGTAAATATTCGACTCAATCAATAAGATTTGAGATTTAGCGATTTTAGATTATTTATCAATCAAATTTCAATATACTTTTCTAGGATCTAGAAGATAAGAATGCATCACTTGTGCATATAGTCGATACATGGGTATTGTGTAACTGATTTGTTTCCCAAGAAGCATCAGACCCCAAATATAAATATAGCTTCAATTTTGATATTGCTGCTGACGAATACGACTCAGAGACGCTTTGCAGAATCATGCTTCAATTTTTAGATCATTTATGAATTTTCTTTTTTTGATATCTGTATGCACTATTATTGAATTAATTATAAGGTGAATACCTGAATGTGCGATTCATTATTCCAAACTTTAATTATTTTTTCTAACTAAACCATGAAACTTGATATTGGCCTATGATTTCTTGGATGTTCATTATGACCATCAACTTTATCATAATGCAAAGTTCCATTAAAATCATCAAACATTTTTTTAACCATTAATTATGAAGAAACGAATCGACCCATTTTTTCCAAAAGCTATTCCAGCTGATATCTTCCGCATAGTCTTTGATTTTGAAAATTGATTTAATATTTTTGACGAAAACATATACTCCTCTCCGTAAGGGGGTTGTTCGGTTTTTTTTTTTTTTTCGATTTTGAGATTTTTGATATTATGAAAGCTAAAAACCTTAGAATTATTTAAAAAAAATCATCTCAATATCTATTTTTTGACGAAGTTATAGATATATATATATATATATATATATATATATATATATATATATATATCTCTATATGTATGATCCTCTGAAACCGTTTTTTTCATCGCTCCGCAAGCTATTGTATGCCAGCTGCTCTCTTTTTCATTATAATACCTCATGCACATGACCTTTTTAATGTGTCAGCATCCTTGAACACCGTGGTGTATTTAGTACATTAAATTAAATGGTGTATTTAGTACATTATATTAAAAACTTTAAATACTTTTTTCTCAAATTGACTATTTTCAATGCGGTGCCACAAATTAAAAAAAAAACTATAAGTCGGATCGACTTGCATTCTTTTTAATTTATTCACCACTGCAATACCTAGTCCCCCTACCTCAAACAACTTGATAACATTACGCAAAAAATTTTTGCGAAGCTTCTCGCCCAAAAAGAAGGCCTTTTTGACACTTTTTTTAAATAGCTGCAATTTTTTTCCTTCTCGATTTTTTTCTTTCATTTTGATAGGGGGACTGGATTCAAACTTCTTCTTCAACGTAGTTTCTTTTTTTTTGTTTCAGGCGATGCGCAACGGATTTATCTGTGGCACCGCAAAAGAGATCAATTTTGCAAGGCCGACTTTGTCGCCCCCTGGTTAAGAAATGACAGCGAAAAAAAAGAAAATTTCGTAATATTCTATGATTTTGTAATACAAATACAAATATATAGACAATGTTGTAAAACCATAAACTTTTGGGTAAAATACCCCCAGGGTAGACAAACCCACATATAATTCACTGTATTTTACACTGTATATATTGAATAAATTTTTATTTATGTCTGTCTGTCTGATTTTGTAATTTTTGTTTAAAAAAACCGCATGTCTCTATGATAAATACATTTCGAGAAAAACAAAAACAAATACCTTGCATTTTTTGTACAAAAAAACAAACAACCGCCTTAAGTAAATTAGTATGATGAGAATGTTATAAAAAAGCAGCAGTGGCAGTAGCTTAGAAAATTTATTCCTCATCATGTTTTACTAATAATAACAGCAGATTCAATTAAATCAAATCCTAAAATTTCAAAGGATTCATCAACAAATAGAATTAGCATATCATGCAAAATTATATTAATACAATCCACAGTAACTTGTATCTATATAACGTGCTTGCATTGTGGCACGTTTCTATTCTCAATCTTTGTCTTTTCTCATATAAACATAAACATGTGATAGCAATAATCACGTGATGGTAAAATGATCCCACATTGCAATATTTTAGTTATATCAAACATATCACCTTCCAATATTTTTAGATAATAGTACTATGCCAAAGGTTTCTATTTTCAATCTAAAAAGCTCATTTTAATTTTATCGTTTAAGAAAAAAACAATATGTAATCTTTAAAAACAAACTGTGTTTCTAGCTCAAAATTGTAATTAACAATCATTTTTACCAATTCGATATTTTGTTCAGGCTAGCATTATACTTGTATACATAAGAAATGTTTTAGTAATATTTCAAAACAAGAATGAATTGCGATTTACGCAGTACGTAATTGAGGTTTCCGTAATAAACTAGAAACTATTTCGCAAATAATAAAATTAAGGGTAGATGCATCGATTTCGCCATCATTGGACCCAAATCCAAAATTTAATAAAATAATATACGAGACGATTGAATTTAAATATGTAGTCTTTCAAATCATGCATATAAATACCAAAAAATTGAAAAAAATAATACACCAAATACATATTCCAGAAATATCACACCCATGCCGTGAAAAAATCAGATATATTTCACAAACACAAACTATTATTTGGTCCACAGTTTAATAAAAACATACTTTTAGTTATCTCAAATTTGTCCATAAACTTTCATAATAAAAAAGCTTAATTCAGTGCTATTTGAATGCACAGAATTGACTGTTAAAAAAAACTATATAATATGTAATTGATAAAAGTAGTGAAAAATGCTACCGTTTTTTTTTAATTTGTTTACCGCAGAAGATCTCCAACTACTTCATAGTTTTTTACATAAACAAAAAAATACTAATCTCCACAAAAATGATAAGAATATGTATACATTGAAATTGCAACATTTTGAATGATTTTTCAAAGAGCATTAAAATTAACTGCAATTCTTGCAACAAAAATTATTTAAACAAACGTAAAGGTACTTCCATAGGACTTTGCTAAAAAAATAATAATTTTAAATAAGTTGCATGCTTGAAAATTCAAACATATAAACAATTCAAGTAATTTCACAAAATACACCTATTAGTTATTTTTCCATCATTCAATACAAATAGATTTCCTTTTCGCTTATATTTTGAATCGCAAGTATATAAATAATATTTCTAAGGCTTATTAGGCTAATAGAATTAGAATTTTTTCATTGAAAAATTGAGCAAGTCGTTGGTAAACTATGTTATATAAACATACTGTAATATGCAATAGACACGTAATGCGTCTCAATTCAAAAATATGATTTAATTTATGCAATTGGTATTAAATTATATAACAATACTAAAATTATTTTTCTATTACGAAATATTACAAAAAACTTTGAGAAACGTGCTATTATGTAACATCAATACTAGGGTTTGCATTTCGAATGATCACATAATGCGGAATGCGCACCAGATGAGGCCCTTTCGTAATAAGAGAACCCGCATTTTTATTTCCTAATTTTTCTGGAGCATATTTGCTGGGATTTGCATAATTACAGAACAATCGAACGCCCTATAAGGATAATATGTAGTGTATCTTGTATCTGAGTTACATGTCGTTTTATCTAAGGAATCAAATAGGGAAAGAATACTGATCCGATTACGCCCATTATTTCAAGAAATCGCAATGATATTGTTCTACGTACCTGCTGTTAGTCAACGCAGACGGCTTCCCTCCATATCCACTGCTGCCACTCGAATTGCTGCCGCTATTTCTCGATTTCAAGCTCGCGCTGGAATTCAAAAAGATAGCTCTTTGAGTATTATATATGAAAATTGAGTATAATATAATAAGAAATACATGACAGATTAAACTAAACAACTGCTATGCCTAATGTTCACAGTAACAAAATTAAACGAACAATACGTTTTATAAGTGTCCTTAATACATTCAATATTCTTGTATTCCTACTTTTCATATTGAACCTAAGTGCCATTGACAATATATATACGAAAGTATATACAGTCAAAATTAACTGCTAACCCTTTGCATTAACTCCATTGTCAGACCAAATCTGTAAGATATAATATAATCCGCAATCAATTTCGGCGTAAAAAATATGCACAGCAACTCCGCGATACAGACACTTATCTCCTTTTTAGACCTATTGAAACTTTTTAGACCGCGATACAGATACATATAAAGAATTTTTAAAAACAAAAGTATGTTCCATATTGAGTAGAGCGAGCTTAATAGGCAAGGTCCACCACAGATATCTCAAAATCAAGTAAATTAGTTAGGAATTTTTTAACAAAATATT